AAAAAAAAAAAAAGTAGAAAGAATCAACAGAACTAAAAACTTGTTCTTTAAGAGAATCAGCAAAACTGTCCAATCACTGGCCAATCTGACAAAGGAAAAAAATTAGAAGGTACAACTAAAATGGAAGAAATTAATAAATTTCTACAAACACACTACCTAAACTAAAACAAATAGAGGTTTAAATTTTGAATTTTTGCTGTTGTTGTTAAGCGCCATGGAGTCTGTTCCAACTCATAGCAACCCAGTATAGGGTTTCCAAGCAGCAACTTGTGAGTTTGAACCACTGACCTTGTGGTTCAAACCAACCTTGCAGTCCTTTGCTTATCCTATAGTGCCACATCAGAAGTCCTAAATTTTGAATAGACCCTTAATAAAAGAAGTTGGAAAGATTTTTTTTTTCTATTAAAAAATCAAAACCTCCCAACAACAACAAAAAGTCCCAGACAGACAGTTTCACTGGAGAATTCTAGCAACATTTAGAGAAGAGTTGACATTAATTTTAGGCAAACTATTCTGGAACATAAAAAAGGTAAGAATATTCCAGATTTCATTATATCGGGCCCACATAATCCTGATACCAAAGCCAGGAGAAGACACACCGTGGCTGTTATTGCTGTTGTTATTGTTTTTGTTAGTTGTCATTAAGTTGGTTACAACTCATAGCATATCTATGCACAACAGAACAAAACCATGTCCCTTCATGCAACAGCCTCACAATTGTTATGCTTCAGACCATTAATCCATGTTGGAGGGTCTCCCTCTTTTTTGCTAACCCCCAACTTTTTCAAGCATGAAGTCAGGTTGTATTTCTTCCAAGACAGATTTATTGGTTCTTCTCACAGTCCATATTTTCAATATTATCCAACACCATAGTTCAGATGATTCAATTGTTACTTGTTCATTGTACAACTTTCACATGCATATGAGGCAGTTGAAAATACCATGGTCATGGGCACTTTAGTTCTCAAGGTGATGTTTTTGCTTTTTACCACTTTGAAGAGATCGTTTGAAGCAGATTTGCCTAATTAAAATCATTTGATTTCTTGACTACTGTGGATTCAAGCATTGGTTGTGGATCCAAGCAAAATGAAGTCTTTGACAATTTTCATCATTGCTTTATCTGGCATGATGTCATCAGTTGTCCCAGTTATAAGGATTTTAGTTTTCCTTGTGTTGAAATGCAAACCACACGTAAAGTGTGGTTTGATTTTTATCAGTAGCTATTTCAAGTCCTCTTCCCTTCCAAGGAAGGTTGTATCATCTGCATATCACAGGTTGTTCATGACTCTTCCTTCAATCTACTTTACCAAACATGGTGTCCTTTTCCAGGGACTCTTCCTGCCTAACAACTAGAAGCTTCACCACTGCGACATCTTTGTTTTTTAACACTTTAAAGAAGTTTTGCCTAATACAATATGTCATTTGATTTACTGACTGCTGCATCCATGAGCATTGATTGTGGATCTAAGTAAAATGAAATCCTTGAAAAGTTCAATCTTTTTTCCACTTATCTTGATGTTATTTATTGGTCCGGTTGTGAAGATTTTCATTTTGTTTATATTAAAATGCAACCCATAATGAAAGCTGTAGTCTTTGAGCTTCATGAGTAAGTACATCAAGTCCTTTCCACATCAAGACTTCAACGTCTTCCTTGTTATTATATGTATATTATCCTATCACAGGCAGCATTATGTTTCAAGATAGATGTTGAAACACTCATTTTGACTACTAAAATGATTCCACTGCTCTTCAATTTGTCATCACTGACATAATTGACACATTATAATTGTCCAATTCAAGATGGACATCACCAGTCCATTTCAGTTTAGGATGTCAATTTTCATTCACTTCATTTCATTTTTCACGACTTAACAAATTTCCTAGATGCATACTTCATACATTAAGTGTTTGATTTATTAATGGATGATTGTAGTTGATTTTTAGAATTTGAGTCTTGTCCCATCAACAAATGAAGGTCCTGAAAGGTTTGTGTCTGTCCACATCATTAAGGTCAACTCTATGCTAAGGAGGCAGCTCTTTCCCAGTTTTTCAGTATCTTCCAACCTGAGGGGCTCATCTTCCTGCACTATATTAGACAATGTTCCACTGCTATCCATAAGGTTTTCAGTGGCTAACATTTAAGAAGGAGTCCTGGTGTGGCATGGAGGGTTAATATGCTGGACTGCAAAGTTGGTTTGAACTGCAAGGTCTGCAGTTCAAGCTTACCAGCCACTCCTTGGAAACCCTATAGAGGGTCGCTATGAGTCAGAACAAAACTGACTTGGCAGCACTGAACAACAACAATAACAGCCTTCAAAAAATGGTCTCCCTCGCCTTCTTCCTAGTCTGTCTTAGTCTGGAAACTCTGCTGAAACCTGACAACTATAAGTGGCCCTGTTGGTGTTTAGAAGACCGGTGACATAGCTTCCAGAATCACAGCTATACACAAGCTACCACAGTATGACAAACTGACACACTATTTCATATTTCAGCCAAGATTACCTTATAAAATAAATAACATCACCTGTGAGCAATGTGTTCCCTTAACCATTTAACTATATAAGTCAAATCAACATTTACCCAAAAGCAAAGATGAGGAGGTAAGTTTGTTGTTGTTGTTTAGTGCCATTGAGTCGGTTCAAACTCATAGCAACCCTGAATAGGGATTCAGAGGAACAACTAGTGGGTTTAAACTACTGACCTTGTGGTTTGCAGTCCAGTGCTGATCTACAGCACCACAGCAGAAGTCTAGGTAAATTAGATCAATGGAAATACCAAATAGAATGGAAATAATGAGAATGTTGACACATTGTTAAAAATGCAAGCAATGACACAGAACAATTTCTATTGAAATTGTTAAACAGGAACCTAATTTTCTGTGTAAATTTTAAACTAAAACACAATAAAGTGTTATTTTTTAAAGCTACTGACCTGATACCCGCAGCTCCCAGATGGCCTCATTGTAATAAGTCTGTGAAGCAAACCAGCACCCATACGTGCCAGCATCTGAGGAAGTGATGTTTTTAAGCTTCAGAAAGACACGCCCTGTAGTAATGGAGTCCTTCATGAACTCAGTTCTACCCCTATAGTCTTGCTTCTGCATATAATTCTGCTCTTCCCCATCCTTGTAGTTATGGACCACATGAGAAAACAGACTCTTGAAGAACCGCACTTCCATGGTTTCTGCACTTGTCTCAGGAGAAAGAAAGCAGGAGAATATTGCATCATCTCCCACCATGGCCTGGACAGGCTTGGCTGGTCCATTCACTTCCCACTGGCCTGTGGGTAGAAGCACAACATAAAACTGAGTAAAAATAATTTCAGCATCAATTATTCAAGACTAGAGTGGGCTGGCAATGTGTGTGGGGTGATATATTCATAATAATCTCCTTCTAAACCCAGTGACTTGCATTCTGTATATCCTCTTATGATTGATAAAATATTTCCCCTTCAGTTACTTCATTCAGTCCTTGTAAAAATCCACTCGCATATTATTAATATCTCTATTTTCAAATGAGAAAAACATGTCTGAAAGACAAAGTTAGTCATCCAGAGGCAAGAGAATCACTATCCAAGTGAAAGATCTTTATCACCATTTCTCCCCTCTATCCATCTGCTTCACTAAAAACTCATGACAGACGTTTTTCCATTTTCTTTGCTAAAAATCAAAGACAAACCCTTTTACAGTGGCCCAGGTAATATGTATGAGAGCTCTGGTGGTACTATAGGAGAAGCACTGCACTGCTAACCACAAGGTCGGTAATTCAGACCCATCAGCTGTTCTGCTGATGAAAGGAGAAAGATGAGGCTTTCTGCTCCCATAGATTTATAGCATAGTGTAGGAATGAATATCTTTTCTTCAAAAATTATTATAATCCTGTTTATTATATTTGGGTAACCTTTCTCTTTTTTTCTTTGACTACTTCCTGAAGTGCGTAATGACCTTATGATCTCTTTTTCTTTGACTACTTCCCGAAGTGAGCAGAGACTTCACAATCTTGCTTTTCCTTTTACTACTTTCTGAAATGAGTGGGAACTGTATGGCCTCTCTTCTACTTTTTGCTATTTCCTGAAATGGGAATGCACACCTTAGAAATTTAAACTAGCCAACCAGGTAAGGGAAAAGATTGTGCAGTCAAAGCCCTAGCTAATGGGGTGAGACACAGCCTTAAGACTTGCGTCAGGGATTAAAAACCCGAGTGGACTGCCCACTCGGTGTGCTTGCTGGCCTGTTCCTGTACAGCTATGTGCACGTACCCTTCTGCAAGAGTAAATTTTGCTTTGCCAAGCTAATTTAGTCTTTTATTCAACATCAGAATTCATTTCTAACAATAGGGAACACTGTACTGGATTGCTATGAGTCAAAATCAGTTGGCAAGCACCTAATAGCAACAACAAAATAATGTGTTATTCAGAAGACAGCCTCCATTAGCACCCATTTCACTATTTCACAAAACCCCAGATCTCAAAATATCCCCAGAGGATCTAGCTTCAACAGAACAGTACTTAAAATGTCTAAATCCACCCATTCCAATTATGAAAGGTTTTCATTATGATTTTCTCCTGCTTATTTGGGCTCTTCCTAATGTTACAATTTGGGCTGATAACCTCAAGTTCAGCAGTTCGAAACTATCAGCCGTTCCATGGAAGAAAGATGAGGCTTTCTGCTCCCGTAAAGATTTACAGCCTCGGAAACTCTGTACAGGGTCGCTATGAGTTGGAACCGACTCTACAGTACTTAACAACAACAACAACTAATGTTAATAAACTCAATACCAGCCCCCAAATCTCCTTCAGAAATCTAAGGTCAATAATCTTGCTTCCTCTAAGGATTTCTCTCTCTCTCTTTTTTTTATTATAAGCGTTTATTGACTTTATTCGTTTATTGATTTGACACACTTTCCAACTCCAATCTAGCACTTGATGCAATCTGGGTAGGCCAGACCCTGACACAGGTAACAACAGGGACCCACAGGAGAGGGCGGAGACAATGCAAAGAGAACTGGGAGAAGGGCTGTTTTGGTAGCTGTGCTAAAGAGGGAGCACCAGATGGCCTCCCTGACAGGTGCTAGTAAACCTTATCTACATTCCTTCCCATCATGCTCATTTCCCAGACCCTTGGCCAAGCTCCCAGCTCCCCATTCCCTTTTTCTCCCATCACTGCCACCACACACAGTTTCATACTACCTCTGTAGTCAAGGAAAGAAATGAAGGTCAAGGAAAGGACAGCTATCAGAGGCATTGAACAGGGAGGTCTCTGTACTTAACTTTGTTACCATAAATCCTTCCCTCCTTTCCTTCTCCCACTCCACCCCGTTCCCAGGCTCTAACCTAATTCTAGGCCTTCAGCGTACTCTCCCACAATAGCACACTGGGTCATAAAGAGTGTGGTTACAGACCAATACCACTCACTCCAGGCACAAGTTGACAGAATGAGAGGCCCTAGCATAGACTTTCCCTTAGGGAAACTCCAACCTAGTTCTACATAGATCTTTTCCTAGACCTGGTCCTATGGAAAGTTCTTGTCCTTATTCAATGTTGCTCCCTCCCACTTACCTCCTGTTTCCCTTTTCTCTATTGGCCTTAAGTTGTCTCCTTCATTTCCTCCAAGGCCCCACCCCCCACACACCCCTTGGTGTCTCCTTAGTATTATCTGTAATGTTTGTATCATATCACTATGACAAAGGCTTCTTTCAGAAAGAAAAGCACCTTGTCACTGTTAAAAATCTCTGTACTTGTGTTTATATTTCTTTAAAAGTCAGTAATAAAAGCTTTTCTGTTATTTCAACAAGGGATGATCTGGTCTGGCTAAACTCTGCAGTGCTCAGGTTTTGGCCCTTCCAGATCACCTCTAGCTCCCTATCCAGCACCACAGGCCTAATGGGTCACTGCATAAAAATCCCAGGCTCAGCCTTATCTGGCCCGGCTCAGAAAAGACTCCTTACAAAAATATCCTGCAGCTCTTTCCACTTTTCACCTTTCTTGTCTTAAGGATCAGCAAGGGAATAAGTTTGTGAAGTTAAACACATCCCATGAACCAACAGAGCTATGTGCTGCATACTTTACACACATAATTTCATGTACTCTCACCAGAGTCTTGTGAGGAATGCAATTTAATCTCCATATGTCATGATGAGCAAACACTTAGATTAGTTGCAAGGCGCAAAGCTAATCAACAGTTGGTAGTGGTTATGTGCCGTAGAATTGGTTCTGACTCATAGCGACCTTGTATGGGGTTTCCGAAGCAGCAGATCTTTACAGAAGAAGAAAGCCTCGTCTTTCTACCATGGAGCAACTAGTAGTTTTTGAACTGCTGACCTTACTATTAAGCAGCTCAACTTGCAACCCACTACACTACCAGAGTTTCATAATAAACAGAGAAAATGAAATTAGAAAAAAAAAATTAAAACTCCATTGCCTCCCAAGGGCAGATTACCCAAGAAAGCAAGCCAAGCATGGATTTACTTGTACTAATTTACTAAACTGTGTTGAACAATTTTATCACATCAAAGATTCTGATTCTGCTTCTCTATCCTAATCCCACAGTACCTTCCTACATAATTAAAGCCTTTTTTCAAATTTACAGTCCCTGACAGGTATGGAATACTCAGTAAGCAAAGTAAGTACAGCTTATTTTTGTTTATTTTTTAATCTATAGTGAACAGATTTATCTGTTTCATCTTACATGTGCTTACTAATCTGCCACCTTGCTTATTGCTTATTGAGTAATATGTCCCTGCTGCCTCCCCTAGAAACCAAAAGTAGACAAAGAAGCTCATCAGAAAATGGAGGACAATGAACTTATATGAAAATAACTCATAGGGATTTTGCTGTGGAACATGGAGCTTGTTTCTAAGATCTTTATTTTCCTTTCCTTAACTTTGTAGGAGACAGATGGACCTGGACAGGTGGAAAGTAAACACAGTTGACTTGATCTTTTATAGCTGGATCTGACTGTTTCTAGACCTGCGTTAGACTCCAAGCCTCCAGCTTCCTCTGTGAATTTTATTCTATTATTCAGCTATCCTTTATACCAGCCTTTGTGTTGATGATAAATAGACGAAGAAAGATTTCTGCCCATATATACAAGGTTCCAGCCTATTCCACACTTAAAGAGCCCTCTCTTAGGTCTCACACAATCTGTATTTCTCATTTAGCACAGTCACCAAATGTCCTCGACCTTACCTCCTTCCAGCTTGGTGTCCAAGTCAGAATCCTGAGCAGTCTGCTAAAGTTCCCACTACCTAAACACTACAGTCATCTGGAATAAGCATTTAACTTACCTTACATCTTTGATGTGCCCACTTCCCACTATTGCAGCCTCTCTTTAGCACCTCTGGCCAAATTATTTCTGGGCTTTTAGTTTCCATGGTGCTGAATCCTTCCTGCTGCTCATACCTCCCCCAGCTTCTGAAATTGGGATCCCAGGCTGGGACTTAGGAGAAAGATGAGGCTTTCAGCTTCCATAAAGATTTACAGCCTCAGAAACTCTGTATAGGATCTTTATGAGTTGAAATCGACTTGATGTCAAATAACAACAGTAACAACAGCCTGGGACTAGGAGACATCAGAGATGCAAAAATAAAGAATACCCCACTCCCAATATGCTTCAAGCAGTGTAGATAAAGTACTCAAATTTTCAACGAACAAAATGAGGAAAAGCAGTCCAGAAGACTTACCTGATACCAGCTTGAGAAGACTGAGAACAAACGCAAGTACAAGGAACATGTATGGGTCCTGCTATCAAAACAGATGTCAGGAAGGAAGGATGAATGGATTAGAGAATAAAGAAAAGGTCAGCTCTCCAAGATGTAGGAGACATTGCAAGGTTCAGCACGAACTGATGACAAACACCACTCTACTTAAATTATATATAGATGTATGTTGGGAGTACAGACTTTGGACTCTGAATCATTGAACCAGGTATCATAAAGCCTTTATTGAAAGACCATAAACACCTATGTTACACCAAGTTCAAGCATGGTTTGAGGGGAAAATGTAGAAAGGGGAGGATGGGGGAGGATGGTAGGTGCTTTGTCCTGGGTCAGTATTGGTCCCAGGTGAGTGGTATGGGAATATCAGATGCAGGGATATATCCAGGTTCTCTCTGGCAGGAAGAGGTGCACAGGATAGTGTAGTGTGCGTATAAACAGGCAAGAGCAGTAACCAAGAGCAGATAAGACTGGCATTTCCTGCCACCCTACCCTTGTCTTAAGTTCAGGGCCAGGATTATAACTATGAGGACAGATGGGGAAAAACTGACTAGAAAAAAACCAAAGCCTTAATCTCCAAGGACCTGCGATACTGAAAAGGGTACAAGAGCAGTGGTTCAGGCATTGGGGGAGGGGGAAGGTGAAGACTTGTTCATTAAATCATTCATTATGTACACTAAACCAGAGAACCCACAATAAAAGATTATGAAATCTTTTCAAGCACACGGAACCTTGAAAACAGTGACCACTTACTAGATCAGAAAGAATGCCTCCAGAGTGTTATGAATTGAATTATGTCCCACAAAAGAATGTGTTGAGATTCTAACCTCTGTACCTATAAATATGACTAGCTTTCTTTTGTTTTGTTAATAAATTCACACCAGGTTCCTAAATCTAATCACTTTTGAGTTATGGAAAAGAGGACAATAGACACAAAGACAGACAAAGGAAGAAGAAGAAAACATGTGATGGAGACAAATGTATCTGCAAGCCCAGAAACAGCTGGCAACTAACTACTAAAAACTCAAACAAGGAAGTACCTCCTCTATAGCAACGGTTTGAATTTGGACTTTAGCCTCCTGAGATAATAGAAAATAGATTTCTGTTCTTTAAACCACCTGCTTCTGGTGTTTGTGTTGAGCAATACTAGATACCTAGGACACAGACGACAACAACAACAAAAAGTATCAACACAAAGAGCTATAATGAAAGAACAATTCTCTAACCATATAGCAACTAAAGAAAACAAGCAATCCAAAAAGTTAGAAAACTGACACACTTAGAAATAAATAATAACACATTTTTAAATCATGTATCTAAAAGGAAACAATAAGAATAATTAGAAAATATTTAGAACAAAATAAAAGTGAACACTCTACATTTCAAAATCTATATAATGCATATGAAGTAATTCTTAGACAGAAATGTTTAATCTTCAATGCTTACTAGAAAAGATCGAGTCTGAAAATGAGCTGAACAAAGTAAATGACTCAAAAATCAAAAAGAAATGGTGTCCCATGTTGAGATTACAGATATCGTGAACATCCCTATCCTATGGGAGCTATACAGTAACAGTGAAAACAGCAGTAAACCAGCAACTTCTATCAGTAAACTTAGTTAAAATGCCCTGAAATGTATGTGTGTGCTGACTGCTGCAAGCACAGAAGTGACCATACTATCTAAATTCTGGGAAGATTCCAACAAGGGAAACACCTGAGTTGATCTGTGAGGCTACAAAGCTATGAGACTGGATTTCAAAGCAATGTCATTTCAAGTACGGACATGAAGGAGGCAATCACAATAGGTACTGCATGCTTTTAAACAACTTCTTGCAAATTTTAAGAAGAGGAAGCAGTGAGATGGGATTTGCATTGAGAAGAATCACTTTGCCCTTTTTGCAAGGAGTTGTCTGTAGGTGCCCATTGTTCTTAAAGGGCGCCTTAGAAGTAGAGGTGATACCAAGTAGACATCATCTTTGCTTAGGCATCCTCTGAAAAGTGTTGTTAAGGAAATCCAGAGACTATTGTTTTTAGGGGTTCACAATGAGTCACAATCAGCCTGAGAGCAGCCAGTTTTTAAAAGAAGGTCCAAGACCATTGTCTTTAGTGAGTGCCTATTCTGATGGGGAAGCCTAATAGCCAGTGGGTTAATGTGCCAGACTGAAAATCATTTGAACTGCAAGGTCTGCAGTTGAAGTTCACCAGCTGCTCCTTGGGAAACCCTATACAGGATAGCTATGGGTCCGAACCAACTCGACAGCACTTAACAACAACAGCAAGTAGCTGGTATGTTAGGACGTTTCTCTGACTCTATTTTCCTTCCACAACTAGTCTGTCAGTTTGTTGTACTGTGGTGACTTATGTGTTGCTGTGATGCTGGAAGTTCTGCCACCAGATCACATATCTTAAATACCAGTAGGGTTACCCATGGCGGATGTTTACGTGTGTTTTATTGACTATGTAAAGGCATTAAACTGTGTGGACCCTAACAAACTATGGATAACATTGTGAAGAATGGGACCTGTACATAGACCAAGAGGCAGTCATTACACCCAGAGCAAAGGAATAGTGAATAGTTTGATATTGGGAAAGGTGTACATCACGCCTGTGTCATTTCACCATATTCATTCAATTTGTATGCTGAGCAGATAATTTGAGAAGCTAGACTATATGAAGAGGAACATGGAATCAGAATTGGAGGAAGGCTCATTAACAACTTGCAATATGTAGATGATACAACCTTGTTTGCTGAAAGTGAAGAGGATTTAAGATATGTACTGATGAATATCAAAGACCACAGCCTACGGCATGGATTGCACTTCAATGTAAAGAAAATAAAAAGCCTCATAACTGGACCAACAAATAACATCATGATAGAAAAAGATTGAAATTGCCAAAGACTTCATTTTGCTTGGATCCACCATCAACTCTCATGGAAGCAACAGTCAAGAAATCAAATGACATATTGCATTAAGCAATCTGCTGCACAAGACCTCTTTTAAGTATATTGTTGTTGTTGTTAAGTCATTGAGTCGGTACCTAATATAGCGACCTTATGCACAGCAGAACGAAACACTGTCCAATCCTGGGCCAACCTCACTACTGTTGCCACACTTGAGTCCATTAATGCGGACACTTGGCCAATCCATCTCGTTGGGGGTCTTCCTCTTTTTCTCTGACCCTCCACCTAACCAAACATGATATCCTACTCCAGCAACTGGTCCCTCCTGACAGTATGTCCAAAGT